ATGGCATGGCATGGAGTGGAATGGCATAGAGTGGAATGGAATGGCATGGAATGGCATGGCATGGAGTGGAAGGGCATGGAGTGGAAGGGCATGGAGTGGAATGGAATGCCCTGGCATGGCGTGGAATGGCATGGCGTGGAATGGCATGGAATGGCATGGCATGGCATGGAGTGGAATGGCATGGAATGGAAGGGCATGGAATGGAAGGGCATGGAATGGAAGGGCATGGAGTGGCATGGCATGGAGTGGCATGGCATGGAGTGGCATGGCATGGAGTGGCATGGCATGGAGTGGCATGGCATGGAATGGCATGGAATGGAGTGGAATGGCATGGCGTGGAATGGCATGGAATGGAATGGCGTGGAATGGCGTGGCATGGCATGGAGTGGAATGGCATGGAATGGAATGGCACGGAATGGAATGGCACGGAATGGAATGGAATGGAATGGCACAGAGTGGAATGGCACAGAGTGGAATGGCACAGCTTCATCAGCACAGAACGGGGCCCAGCAGAGCAAACGGAGCAGCTCCAGGAGAGTGTTGGGAAAGAGGCAAAACCAGCCCAAAGCACAGCAGCTCCAGGCAGCAGCCCCCAGACGGGCCAAGCTCATTGCCAAGCCTTACGTGAGCCCCGTGCTGCTGGCTCACGCCTCCCAGCTCAGCAGGACCCAGCTGTGAAGGGAAGGCAGAGGGCAGGGAGCTGATGCTGGAGGCAGCAGGAAGGTTCAGGACACAGCACGGTGCTCCCGTACCGTTTGGTTCCAACCCTTTGGTTCGGGGCGATGTCAATGGTGTCCGTGACGGAGTCGTGGCGCACGGCGAGCCCCAGGTCAGCGATGGCACACGTGCCATTCTTCTTCACCAGGATGTTCTTGGATTTCAGGTCTCTGTGAGCAATCCCAGGCTTTCCTAAGAGAGCAAAACAAGACGTGGCAGGGGTCATGGGCTGGGAGCCGCGCTGGCGCAGAGGCAGCGCCGGATCTCGTGGCATTAGCACAATTCTTTGTGTTGCAACACATTTTCCTGTTTGGATCCGCTTCGGCGCCCAAGGAAAGAGCGGTGCTGACAGCCTGCAGAGGCCCCTTGCTGGCTGCAAGGCGCAGTGTCAGCCCGAGGCCTGCAGAGGGATTCCAGCTCCACGCTCCCAGGGGCGCCCATGTGGATGCGAGGGGTGGATCAGGGCTGCTGCCCACGCTGACCTCACATCTGCATCCTCAAACTGCAGCTGCTCGGCTGGGAAATGCTGATCTAAATCCCAGGACCGAACAGGGGCCAACAATGCACACAGCCATCAGCCCAACGCCCACCAGGCGGATCCAAGCACCCCCTCCAGCCCTGCTCCGTCCTCCTGGGGAGCTCCCAGCACCTCTCCAAAGCCCGCTCGTACCTTGAGTACCCACGATCTCCATGTGCAGGTGGGCCAGCCCGCTGGCAGCAGACAGAGCGAGCTTGATCATCCCCTCTATGGTCACCGTGTAACGGTTCAGGTAGTCGAAGAGGGACCCGTGCTCGTGGTAATCGGACACGAGCCACAGCTGCGTCCACGTCCCGTTGTCTGCAGAAGGAAAGAGGTGTTTCTCAGGGACAGGACAGAGGCACTGAGCATCCTGCATCCTTCTGGCACGCAGAACCACCGGGTGAGGCTGCAGCTCAACCTGGGGCAGGCCAGCTGAAGAATTGAGGCGCGGGCAACGCGCACGCATCCTTGTGCAAGAGTTTTCATCTTCCCACCCTGCACTGGGACGCACTCAGGCACGCAGCACGAGCGTGCTGATGGCTTTCTGTAGCCTCTAACTGCACGCCTGAGCGGAGCCACGCAGCTCTCAGAAGCAGCACAACGATGGGGTCTCTGCTCACAGGGCTGAGGATGTTTTACCTTTGTTGTCTGCAGCAATGAAGCCCAGGATGTTCTCGTGCCGCAGCATAACGGTTTGGTAGATTTCTGCTTCCCTGAACCAGGAGCGTTCCTCACGGGAAGAGAAGATCTTCACAGCCACGTCGCCTCCGCGCCACCGGCCGCGCCACACCTCCCCAAAGCGGCCCTTCCCAATGATCTCCTGCAGGACGATCGTCCGAGCCACGGTCCGCTGGACAAAAAGTGGCAAACCTACAAAGAAAATGGGGAGCTGAAGGTCTGCTGCAGGGAAAGGACGGGTGTCAGCAGTCAGCAGCGTGCCACTGCTGTGCCACTTGACCAACGGTTGGCCAATGGGGGACCACGAGCCAGCAGTGTGTCCTGGTGGCCAAGGAGGCCACTGGCATCGTGGTTGACCAACAGTTGACCAGTGTTTCACCAACCAACACGTGACCATGAGCCAACTGTGCCCTGGTAGCCAAGAAGGCCACTGATGTCCTGGTTGGCCAGTGGTTGGCCAATGGTTGACCACGAGCCAGCAGTGTGCCCTGGTGGCCAAGAAGGCCACTGGCATCATGGTTGACCAACAGTTGACCAGTGGTTCACCAACCAACAGGTGACCATGAGCCAACTGGTGGCCAAGAAGGTCACTGATGTCCCGGTTGGCCAATGGTTGGCCAATGGGGGACCACGAGCCAGCAGTGTGCCCTGGTGACCAAGAATGCTGCTGGTGTCATGGTCGACCACTGATTGACCAATGGTTGACCACGAGCCAGCAGTGTGTCCTGGTGGCCAAGAAGGCCGCTGGCATCGTGGCTGACCAACAGTTGACCAGTGGTTCACCAACCAACACGTGACCATGAGCCAACTGTGCCCTGGTAGCCAAGAAGGCCACTGGTGTCCTGGTTGGCCAGTGGTTGGCCAATGGGGGACCATGAGCCAGCAGCATGCCCTGGTGGCCAAGAAGGCCACTGGCATCGTGGTTGACCAATGGTTGGCCAATGGGGGACCACGTAGCAGTGTGTCCTGGTGGCCAAGAAGGCCACTGGCATCGTGGCTGACCAACAGTTGACCAGTGGTTCACCAACCAACAGGTGACCATGAGCCAACTGTGCCCTGGTGGCCAAGAAGGTCCCTGGCATCCCAGTTGGCCAATGGTTGACCAGAAGAGGACCACGAGCCAGCAGTGTGTCCCCATGGCTGCTTGGGAAGCAGCTGCGCATCGCTTTGAAGCAGCCTGCAAACCACCAGCAATCAGGAAAACAGCAGTTGGGGAAGCAGTGCTCGGTGGCAGATGAAATAACTTCAGCCTGAATACGGGAAGAGTGGAAGCTGAAGGCTGACAAGCAGTAAAAAACCCCAGAACTGCTCTTAGGAAGAGAGTCTTAGCACAGGTGCCACATCTTAGGTAAATGCAGAGCTCACCTGCTGCCAGCGAGCACAGGAGGGACCCCCTAACAGCTTATACACAGCAGCTGTGCTGCTGAAGGTTGGTTCCCTGGTCGGATCTCAGCTTGCCATATTCTCTGCGGATCACTCCACCGTTTCCATCCACTGTAAAACTCCCTTTATTTTTCAACCTAATTGCTTCCAGAGCTCAAAGCCACCAATACAACACCTCAGCGTCCCAGGGATGAGTTCTTTTGAAACGTGGAAGCAAACACAGTGCTGGCTGTGGGGGAAGCAAGGGCTCTGCGGGATGAAACAGGCTCCGCAAGCAGCCTTTGCTCCTCCTCCTGCTGATGCACGGGGAGGTGAGGCAACGGCAGCAGAGCCAGGAGCCGCTCCAGCTCCACGTCCTCGTTGGTCACCGCCAGTCACAGCTTCCCTACCTGAGCCGGAGCCGGAGGTGGAGAGATCGTAGACGAGATCCTGCAGCGTCTTGTCCTTGGAGAGGCACATTTCACAAGAGGGGTCCTCCATGTCCAGGCGCTGCCGGTTGTGGTAGACGCGCTGGTGGTGATGAAACACGAAGACGACGATGATGACGACGACGAAGACGAGGAAGACGGGCCCAGCAATCACTGCCACCAGCTCCACCGGACCCCAGCTCGACGGGGGCTCGTTGTCCTTCAGGTGCCCTGGATGGGGAAGCAAGAAGAAACGCGGCGTTGTTGCTCCTCCACAAGCGTTCCTTGGGGACCTCCTCATGCTTTAAGTCCCCTCTCAGAGCCCAGACTTCCTGCTTGCTGCCCCGGGATGGCAGAGCACACGCTGCTAATGCAGGGACTGCAGCTGCCAGGCAGCCAAACTGCAGGGAGGACCCAGGACAGAAAGCAGTGCTTTGGTTGCGGTGCTGGGGATGGCAGCTCCTGCTGCTCGGGGTGGGAGCTCAGCTCCTCTGGGCCAGCTCTGCTCCTCTGAGCTGTGCTTTGCTGTGCCCAGGCACTCTGCAAAGGGCAGGGAAATCAAGCAGCGCTCGAGGAAGGTCTCATCTCTGCCCCCATCCCCTCTGTCCTGCACACCGTGAGAGCGGCTGCTCATCTTGAGAGCAGACAAAACTTCCCCCCCTGCACCCAAAGGAAACGGCTCCCGCAGCCTTCGTCAGAGCCACGGCCCTGCAGCCCGAAACGCAGAGCTATGAGGAAGTTCTGTGCGCTTCTCTGTCCCAGAGCAGACGGTTCCCACACCCCCAGGAACAGGGCAGGGCTGCTTCCTCAGCACCGGGCACCGTCTGCCCTGCTCTGCTCCCCTCCACGTAGCATCACACCATGGAGGTGGGCAGCACGAAGGGAGGAGAGCACAGGAGGATGGGGAAGGACCTGAGCTGTGCAGCCCCAAAGGAAGGAAAGCACAGAAGGATGGGGAAGGACCCAGGCTGTGCAGCTCAAAGGCAGAAAAGCACAGGATGGGAGAAGAACCTGAGCTGTGCAGCACAAAGGGAGGAAAGCACAGGAGGATGGGGAAGGACCTGAGCTGTGCAGCCCAGAGGAAAGCACAGGAGGATGGGAGAAGAACCTGAGCTGTGCAGCCCCAAAGGAAGGAAAGCACAGGAGGATGGGGAAGGACCCAGGCTGTGCCCAGGGAACACGCAGCCTGCTGTCCTCAGGCCATGCAGACACAAAGCTCTCGTGTAAGTGCAGATGCACAGATCTGCTGCTGCTTCCAGGAGTCTGCGCAGAGATGGGGGCTGATAAGGAGAGGAGTGTCAGCATGTGAAGGTGGGGGGGGGAGGAAAAACCCAACCACAACCGAATTGGGGAAGCTTCTCCTGGCCCAAAGCACCACCTCACCGTCTGCTGACATTTCGTCTGCCACAGGGGAGCCCGAGCAACTCCACGTGTTAATTGGCAGCAGCTCGTTATTACCTCCACTTTACCAATCAAGGAAATAAGCCAAGTGTTTGCACAGCAACCAAAGGGAAGCAGCGAAAAGGCTGCAGAGCAAACCTCAATCCCAGCCCTGAGCAGCCAGATTTCCCCCCCCCACATCCACTGCATGCACTGAGCTCCCCCCTCACCGCTGGGAACCATTAAATCGATCTTGTTGCAGAAATCAGAGTAGCAGCAGTGGGTGTTCCGCAGATCCTCGGAGCTCAGGCAGTAGAAGGGTTTCCCAGCTGGGATCAGTTTGGCTTCGGGGATGCAGGTCCTCACGTGGTGCTTCACCCCATCCAGGTTGAAGACAGACACCATGCAGGCGCCGTCCGTCTCGCAGGTGGAGTTGGCTTGCTTGCAGTCAGAGCACAGACAGGTCAGAGCTGCAAAACAGAGCGAGAGCAAACCCTTAAACCAAGCATGCGAGGCAAAGACAACTTTCTCCCTTTATTTTCCCACGTGGGAAGGTCATCTCTATCTCTGGGAGGTGCAGCTCTGCCCGGCTCGTGTTTGATGGCGCAGAGCTGAGAGCCCACAAAGCAGAACAAAACGCCATCAGAACCTTCCCAGCAGGAGCTGCCAGCCCTGCAAGGATGCTCAGCCCACACCAACCCAGCACCGCTCAGACCGGCGGTGCGAGCCGAGCTGCTCCACCCAAACAGCTCAGGGGCTCCTTTAGGAACTCCTCTCCTGCTGCCAGATGCAGCTTTGGGTCACACACACGTCCCTGCCCTCCTGCCTGCCCTCCGCAAGCATCGTTTGGGTGCAGAGCGAAGCAGCCCCACGGTTGGCATCCAGCTTTTCTGCCAAAAACCTGCAAGCAAAGCCCCATCCTTGCAAACAAAGGGCAAAGACGACAATGTGGAGGAGAAGGGTGGGGCTTGCTGAGCAGCCTGCAAGATTTGCTCCTGCTCTCATCAGATCTCAGCCTCCCCGGAGGGAGCCTGCAACATGTACTTACCCGCAGAAACGCTCGTTCAGGTGGGAAGGCTTTGGAGATGCAATTAACTCTTCCCCAGCCCCGCAGCTGCGCTCAAAGGACGCGCACAGAAGTCAGCGTGGGGCAGAGGGCTGTGCAGAGCCCTCCCTTGTGCAATTAATGGCTTTAATGAGCACCCGGTGATGGGGACAGCACTGAGGGCTGCTTTGCTCCTGGCTGCAGTGGAGCGGAGCGCTGGGGATGGATGCTGGGGGGGGGAAACAAGCAGCTCCGCACCGAGTTCGGGGCTGTTTGGGAGGAAGACGCCCATTATCCCTCATCTGAGCGGTAAATCAGTTAGGCTAATTGCATTAGGGCTCAGTTCTGCCTGGACGTTGTGCTCTTTGTTTCCCAGCTGCTGTGAGAGCGGCTGCAGCGCAGGGAAACGCGGAGGGGCTGCTGGGCTTCTAAAGCATCGCGTGGAAACGCAGCAAGGGAAGGGACAGGGGGCAGACCCCAGGAACGCACTGCATCACAGCTTTTAAAGGGATGCTTTGGAATCAGGGATGCTTTGGAATCAGGGATGCTTTGGAATCAGGGAATTAATGGAAGGAAATCCCCCCCCCCCCCGAGCTCTGCGCCCAGGGAACAAAGGTTGGCTCTCATGGAGCCTTAATGAAAAACACGGGGAGGAGAGCAGACGGGGCACATTGCTGCCTTGTGTCTGCTCACAAGGGAACGCTGCCTTCCAGCAGCTCCTCGACTGCTTTTGCAAAAACTCAGACTATGAACCGAAGCTTTAAGGCAGGCGTCCCACCACGCTGCCTCTTTCCAACTCCATCTGTGCATGGCCAAACCGAGCGGCTCCCATCGCCCTCCTCCCCGAGGCACAGAGGTGGGCTGCACCAGTTTGCACCTCCAGATCTCGAAGACGAAGAAATGTCCTCAGTCCTCCAATGCAGCTGCCTGCAGAAATTCCTCCCCATTTCCACACCTGCCCCAAAACGGAGCGGCCTCTCAAGAGCTCCCACAGAGGCACTGCTGCACCCTCTGGGTTTTGCTGGCAGAGCTGAAAACAAACCAACCCAGCAGGAAGAGCCCCGTCCGCTCCGTGCACAGCCCACCTCCCACCCCAGCAGGGCTCTGCGGCCCCATTCCACCCCGTGTTGTTCCCTCTGTGGGACACGAGCTCCTCTTTAACACGTCTGCACGCTGGGCAACGGAGAGCAGCATCACCAGAGCCCATCACAACCACAGCAGGTGTGTGCAGCGCCTCCCACCAAGGCTCTGCCAGGTCCTGGCAGCTCGCTGTGCTGCATTTTGGGATGGCATCCCGAGCCCAGCTCTGCTCCTCACCCCCACATCAGCTCTGCTCCCCCCCAAGCATCCCCTGGGAGGGATGCAGCAAAGCACAGGGCAGCTCGGCCGTGCCTCACGTTTCAGGTCTGGCTGAGCAGAAGGGAAAATCCTCCTCCCATCAGCAACGCTCTCCCCCCATGGATGGGGTGGGAACACAGACAAGCACGGATCCCCACCCCTCGTACCTCCACGAGGCTCCGGGTGCAGCAGAGGTGAAGCAGGAGGAGACGTGAGCCAAGCAAAGAACTTCTCAGTGCCAACAGCATTCCTCCTTTGGGGGAGGAAAGCTCCCATCCAGCAAAACACACCACCACCCACTTCATCAAAGGGCAGAGGAAACAAAGGAGCAGCTCGGAGCGGTGGGGGTGAGCTGAGGGATGGGGCTGCAGAGCAACTTCTGCCCCACGAGTGCTGGAACCAGCCCAGCATGGAGCTGGGGGTCCCCTGGGTGGGAGCTGGGGAGGGTCCCTATAATAGGAGCTGGAGGGTCCCCATGGTGGGAGCTGGAGGGGTCCAATGATGGGAGCTGAAGTTCCCTATAAAGTGGGCTGGGGGGGGTTCCCTATAATAGGAGCTAGGAGTCCCATAATGGGAGCTGTGGGTCCCTATAATGGGAGAAGGGGGGTCTTCATGGTGGGAGCTGGGGGTCCCATGGTGGGAACTGCGGGTCCCCATAATTGGAGCTGGGGTGGATCCCTATAATAGGAGCTGGGGGTCCCATAATAGGAGCTGGGGG